CTGCCTTTTGCTTCTCCAGTCGGGCTGTCAAGCTGGAATGAAAACCTCTTAGAGATTTGCAAGACAGGATTATTATTTTTTTACTGTAAGATTTAACAGCAACACAGGATTTTTCTCTGCTTTCAGATCTGACAGCTAGGTACTATGCTTACATGCAGTTAGGCACCATGTAATCTTTTGTTTAAGACTAATAATCATAGAAGTTGGTAAAAGGGAGCCCAGTTTAAAATTTATTTTTTAAAACAACAATAACAACAACACCCCAGATAAACACCCACATGCTTTAATAATGGCAAATGAGTTTCCTCCAGATTCTTAATCTTTTCCCCTAAACCTTACAATTTAAGGCTTAAAATGAGGATTCCTTGTGATTTTAAATCTCTGCTCTTCCCCACTTGACTAAATTCAGTGTTGGACCTCTTTGGAAATTCCTGTGAGTGCATATAAATAATTTCTAAATTCTGTTTTAAAGTTAAACTCCTAAACTCTTCCCAGTCAGCCTACCGATTTATGTCAAATACTTCATTAATGAAAGCAGCAGGTTTCCTTAAGCAATACTGTGTTTACTGCAATAGTCAATGCAACTGGGCTCCCTTTTACCAACTTCTATGATTATTAGTCTTAAACAAAAGATTACATGGTGCCTAACTGCATGTAAGCATAGTACCTAGCTGTCAGATCTGAAAGCAGAGAAAAATCCTGTCTTGCAGTTAAATCTTACAGTAAAAAATAATAATCCTGTCTTGCAAATCTCTAAGAGGTTCTCATTCCAAATCACAGTGGATAATCTTGAATGATGATTATACACGTGCAGAAGTAATTGTAATGGACAGTCTGATTAGGGCAGAACCATGGTGTGGTGGTAGAGCACACCCTTGTATGCATAAGATCATTCATATCTCCAGATAAAAGTGTCAGGTGCTGGGAAAGACCTTTGTGTGCCTGAACTACTATCAAACACAGAGTAGATAATACTGATGTGGTACAGGCAACTTCATATAATTCAGAGGATTTAAAACATTTACATAGAACACCCAACTATGACAATAACACTGCAAACTAGGCAGATTCCAAGTGCAATGCCTTTGACATTTAAATGTTTGGGGGGGGGGGGAGTCCTGGTAGGATTTTACTAGGTATCAAACAAATAAACACAGCCATGACCTATATATCTTCATTTTTCTTTTAATATATTTCCAGAGTTATGTGACTATAGAAAGAAACAAAAATAACCTTTTCCTTCTGTGATTCTGATTCCTAAACACTGGACAACTTTTACATTTGTACTACAGTAATTGTTGCAGTTATGATTATTTCTTTATGTATTTAATATAACAGTGTTCAGTTGTCCCTTCCACAACCAACAGTGAATATGTGTCTGAGAGAGAAAATAAGGTATTTGCGAGAATTTTTTCCCTTAGGGTTTTTATCGCTTAATTCCAAATGTGTGATACTCATTTATACTGCACTCTTGTCACTGGTTCATAGGTGGCAGCAGAGTTTAGCATTTCAAATCACAGATATATTACATATTACGTATATTTTAAACCTTCAACCTCTTATGTAGTGACTGAAAAAAAATATGAAAAGGTATCAGTTATAAACCATATATTACAACAAATGCCAGGGAGGAAAAAATGTGAAATATTGTCATTTCATGTATTTTTAATACAGATGTTTAGTTTAAGGCCTGAAATGTAAATGACAACTAGCTTCTCACAATGTACCAATATGTTCTGGCTAGAATGTAAATAATGGCTAAAATATGTTCTTCAAAGTTGCATCACTGAAGGCTGATTCAGACTTTTTTTTTGCTTTTTTTCCGACTGTCACGGTGAGTGACAGATGACAACTTATCCCAGGGGCTCAGAAAATATGCCTCTGGGCCAGGACCCAAAAATCTACCTGAACTAACCTCAAGTCTTGTGGATAAAAAACAGTAACTGGTCTGAATATAAGGTAGGGGAGTGTGAACACAGGGAACTGCCTTACACTGAATCAGACCACTGGTCCATAACGGTCAGTATTGTCTGCTCGGACTGGCAGCTGCTCTTCAGGGTTTCAGGCAAAGGTCTTTCACATCACCCACTGCCAGATTATTTAACTGGAGATGCTGGGGATCTACCAATGAGCCATGGCCCCTCCCCATGTTGGAACATAAATATGATTTGAACATAAATATGACTTGACACTCCAGATAAATTGCTCAGAGTCATCTCTATCCATTCCCCTAAAAATAAGATACACTGAATTTCTAGTAGAGAAAAACCTTTGAAAGATTAAAAGACAATGTATGCTACAGATCAAGATATAAAACACCTCCACCAAATGTACAGTGTAGGAATTGAACTCACTAAGGCAAACTTTTTGTTGAGAATCATCTGCTCCACCAGCGATGACTCATTATGGAAGAGATGTGGCTGCATGTGGCTCCACATATGAGGAAACCACCAGAATTCATCCACAGAGCCCAATAATAAATCATCACCTTCATCTTCTTCTATAGTTCCTGCAGAAATAAATAATGTTAATTTAATAACTCTCCCATTTATCATTGCAGTAATCAGCAGAAGCAGAATCAACAATGTGAAAAAGCTACCCAACAGTAAAAAATCCCCTAACAAGCAGTCATGGAAGGCATTCAGGGCATTCAGAGTTTTAAAAGTATGTAACTGTAGGGGGCAGCACACAGGTCCATGGTATGGGAGACAGGCAAAACTGGAGGGTATACCCAGAGGTCACTTCGGGGGGGGATCGTGGGGGATCGCAGTTCCCCCGGGCGAGGTACAGGGGGCGGGGCACATGACGAAGCCCCGCCCCCTGCTTCCGGCTGCCCCGCTTCCGGCCCTCATTCAGCCAGGAGGAGGCAGGAGGAGAGAGAGGGTAAGTCGCTTCCTCCCTGCCTCTCCCCACCCCTGCCTGCCTGGGGCCAGGGAGGGTCTTCGCAGGGCTTCCTTGCACTCCCGCCGGCCTTGCAGGTCCACCGCCAGGCCCCTCATGGGGCTCAGCAGTGGAGCTGCAAGGCCGGTGGCGGCGGCCGGGACCGTTGGGGGCGGGGTGTGTGGCCTTATGACACACTTCCGGTGATGTCAGGGGGTGTGGCATATGCTAATGAGTTATGCTAATGAGTTCCCCTAGCTCTTTTTCTACGAAATGACCCCGGGGTATACCTGATTTAAACCTACCCCTAGGGTTGTTATCAACCCTAGAAAGGAAAAAAGAACAAGTGAAGAGAGGATGCCCCCTTCTTCTTGCTATTCAGGGAAACAGAAGTTAGCTCCAATCAGGAAAAACATGTTCATTATTTACCACAGCTCCAATCGCAATTGGGGCCTATTCAGCTGTAAAAATCTTTTAAACTGCTAGACGGGCCTGTTCATGTATCTTGCAGCATCTATATATCTAATACCCAAATTGCCCCCTCCATGCGGATATCTAAATCCGCACATCAGGGGCACTTGGGGGGCAGAGAGATTTCCCTGCACACTTGGAGCAGTCTCCAGGCATGCAGAAAAATCTAAAATGTTGGGAAAAAATATACGGGGGATATTTAAATCCCTCCAAAAGTACAAGAGTATTCCCTGCGCATGCGCAGAGAACGCCCTGGCAACTGTCTCACTGCCGCTGCGGGTGGGGGGGAACCTTGGCAGGCCGGTGGCTGTGAGCCACTCAGGCCTCACCGCCGCCATTGCAGGGGGGAGGAGGGAAAAGGCTTGGCGGACTTCAGGACTTCTTGCTGCCGCCGCTGGGGAAGACGGTGGGAGAAAGCTTGGCAGGCTTCGGGGCTCCTTGCCGCCGCCACCAGGGAGGGGGGCAGGAGAAGACTTGGCAGGCTTCAGGGCTCCTCGCTGCCGACATGGGGGGGGGAAGGCTTGGCAGGTCTCAGGCCTCGCCACCGCCACCGGTGGGGAGGAGGGAGAAGGCTTGGTAGGCCTCATGGGTCCGCCTGCTGGGCTCACCTGCTGTCACTTCTTTCTCCTGCGGAGGTCCTGCTTCTGGAGGCTGGGAGCTGTGGGAAATACTCCCCCCCCCGCGAGTATCACGGGTCCCCCTTCTTGTCTTATTTAATTTGGTCATGGGCCAAAACAAGACAGCAGAAACAATGATTGATCTATATGTTTAAAACAAAAACTGGACCTGCCAGTTTGACGATGTGTATTTTGCACTGATCGCCGCAAAGAACTTAAGTCTGGCAAACCGGAAAACACCTTGGGGACAGGACTGGATTTCACTAGGCTAAGTTAAGCTCAGAGACGCACAGCTGTAAGCCCCAGATTTCCAAGACCCTTAGCAGAGTGCCACAACCAATGACTAGTGAGGTGGTAAGGCAAGGGAGCCTGAAAAGTCAGACTCTGTGCTTGGGAAGCAAGGGAACTAATAATGTATAAAATAAATTTCTAAAGAAGCCCAGATCTGCAAATAGCTGTGCTGAGACTTAAGCCAAAAGAATGGTCAGACTGCTGTCCCATAGTATAGGTGCACAACAGACAAGACAATGAGTACTAGTGATGACTGCAACTGATCTAAGAATTTTTAAGGCCATTAATTAGTTAAGGAGGAAATTATTAAAGTTAAGTTTGCCCAATGAACTCTTGAGAAAAGCACTTTTTGGAATATTGAAGAAGTAGGTGATTATTTAATGTTTAACAAACTAATGCCACCATGGCTCACAAATATTTGCTACAACAACAGTCTGAAATTGTACCATGTTGATTTTATAAGCTCTTTCAGCAGAATGTGATGCCATGGATCACACAGCTGGTTTGAAAAATACTCAATTCCCTGGGAGAGAGCATATCCTCAGATTGCCCACATGCTGATGTTACACACAAGCTTGGCAGAATCCCAAGGAAACGCTCTGCATGTGCAATTAATTTCCATTTTTAAAAGGTATGAACCATGCATATCGATTCTCTCTGTGTTGTAGGTTACCAGACATATATGAGAACACTGTATATGGCTGGTGCTAGAAGAGAAGGCACTAGATGCCAAATAAAATAGGAGATAAGGTACAATTTCCCTCTCCTTTTTGCCCCTCCACTACATTTAGCCTATATGTGGTAGAAAAGGTCTCAGATTAACACCTGCTCAGGCTGCAGGCATGTTATTCATGTCTGAGGGTTAGTGTGCTCGGGCAAGTTATGATCATGGTGGGGGATGTGTTTTATCAATTCCAGCCAATTAAAGGAATGGACCTTTTCCTTCTGAACTGGATGCTGCACTGTTTTTGATGTGTGACGTCCTAAACATCTTGGGCTCTTTCAGACAACCTCTGTTCCTCCGGTTGTGGCCACTTCCGTTTCCAAAACTGTAATAAGCAAATTTCTTGATAGGCATTAGGATTCTTTTTTTGAGCCAATAGTTGTGTACTGATACCAAGTCAGTGAAGAGACTGTCTTACCATATCCTGGGTTTGCTTCAATCAGCTATTCTACTGATAAAAATCCTGTATTGGGGATTATAGGACCTTCATGCACAACAGGTATGTAGTGCAGTTGTTGTTGTTCAGTTGTACAGTCGAGTCTGACTCTTCACGACCCCAAAGAGGGGAATTGGGTGAGATTGAACAAAAAAGCTGGCTGGAATCAGCCCTTTAAAAAATTAATGTTCCTCCTGGTTCCAGATTTTTATTTATTTATTTATTTTTATCCTGCTACTTTCCTTGCCCAGCAGGGCTCCCGGTGGCTTCTAACAATTAAACAACCAATAAAAACAGCATCACTATTTAAAATCACCCTTACAGTTAAAACTTATAACTCAATCATATGTCAGATCATATCAGATGGCGCCCCAACAAACCTTCAGATGTGGTTAACTAAGGGGGGCAGCCAGCACAGCCCAACAATGGGGAGACCAGGTGATCTTTCTAGCCACCACTGTCCTCAGCTATACACTTGGTGGAACATCTTGGTCTGGCAAGCCCTGCGGAACTGAGCTAAATCCTGCAGGGCTCAAGTCTCACAAGACAGAGAGTGTCAACAGGTTGGGACCAGAGCCAAAAAGGTCCTGGCCATGATTGAGGACAGCTGGACTGTTCTGGGACCAGGGACAACCATAAGTTGTTGCTAGATGAACGTAATACTCTCTGAGGGGTATATAGGGAGAGACGGCCCCATAGATACGATGGTCTCAGTCCGTTTAGGGCTTTGAAGGTACTAGAAGCCTGTTTAGGGCTGTCGTGCTCACCACTGGACTCTGATGCGGTGCCCCCAGTGGCCGAGGTGTCAGGGTTCACGACCTGACTGTGGTAGGGGAGACGGCCCTTGGAGCGGTAGGTTCCAAAAAGGGAGAGGGAGTGAGGAGCCTCACACAGGCAGGGGACAGGGTTAACGTCACCCTGAGAGTCCCTCTGCCAGCATGCTGCCGACTTACTTCTCTCTTTGCCGTCTCTCGTCTCTCTGTTTGTCAGCGTCCCACTCCGTTCCACACCGCACTCCTCCTCCCCAGCCCCTTCTCCACCCTGCCTTTTATCTCCCTGCCCCGCTAGGACTGCCCATCCGTCCTCCGACTTGGGCCACGCCGCCGATCTGCGATCTGCGACTGTACCCGCTGCTCCGTGCCCACTCCTGGCTCGTCGGAGAAGCTGCCGCCGCCCCTCTCTTCCTCTGTGGTGCTGCCTCGTGGACCCCGCTCCTGTCTCCGGACCCAGCCAATGCAGCCTGACGAGGCAGGGCCCCCTGCTCCCGACTCCCTCCCCGGACCGTTGGCCTTCGCCCCGTCTGGTGAGTCATGCCTAGGGGGCCTCGCAGGGTCTGTCAGGGTCCCCGGCGCCCAGTCTGCACGTCCCAAGACCTTTGGGGTGGGACAAGGGCTTTGAAGGTACTATCAAGTACTAGAACCTGATTTGGTACTCAACCTGTAGCCAGTGCAGCTGGTAGAGCACAGGTTGTATATGTGCTTTCATGGGGGTCCTAGTAAGGACCCATGCTGCTGCATTCTGGATCAGTTGAAGTTTACGGAGAAAGTTCAAGGGCAGTCGTGCACAGAGTGAGTTACAGTAGTCTAGTCCAGAGGTGACTGTTGCATGGATCACTGTGGCCAAATCAGTGCAGGACAGGTAAGGGATCAATTGCCAGGATTGGTGAAGGTGGAAAAATCCATCCTGGTTGTATTTCTGACCTGAGTCTCCAACAAGAGGGAGGCATCACGGATCACACCCAAACTCCTGATGGAGGGAGCTCGTACTAGTTGTACTCTGTTAAGAGTGGGGAGGTGAATTCCCTGAACTGTCCTCCTCCACTGTAGCCACAGGACCTCCGTCTTTGATGGGTTCAGTTTCAATTGGCTCTGTTTTAACCATCCCACCACAGCTTTCTGGGATAATGTGCAAAGAAATAAAAAATTGGTATTTGTTGTGGTTATGTACTTTAAGATTCTACTTATGTGACCTCACACATATAATTGCTTTACACTCATACGGTTTTTCTCTCTGCTATGGTGCCATCCTTTAGTTTATTCTTTTGCTATCCATTGTTTTCCCTCTCTGCCTGGGAGAAATAAATGATTTTAAGAAGGAAACACCATTTCAGGCAGCTGAAATGATGCCGTAGCCTGGCTGGGACCATTAGATTTTAGGAGTTCATTAAAACCAATGACTTTGTCATTGAACAATATGGTCATTTCAGGGCTAAGCCAACATAAAGAGATCAGTTCTGTGGTAATTATGTAGATGTACTGCTTTCTGCAAGCCACCAGAGCAGGGAAGGTCTTGTTCACACTGAAGCTATGCTGTAAATTAGCTACTCCCTTCCCACTTTTCAGCTTAGCCATTTTATAAACTGTTGCTGGAGAAGATAATATGATTAGCTGGGAAGTACCTTGATTGGCATTTTTAAAACAATACAATGCTGCTAATTGTTCAAGCAGTTGGCACAGTCCATGCAACATCCCACTGTTAATCTCCAGGTCTCGATTTCTTTGTCATCTTCACATGCACACAGTTTATGTGCTTATGTTTGTATAAGCTGGTACCACACTGACGAGGGGCAAATTTCAATTGGCATGGACAAATCTCATACAGCTTTCTCATTAGTGAAGTCTTAATATTGAATTGGGCAGTTTAGCTCCCTTCTCCAATGTATTCCATTTTTATTTCATTAAAAAACCCAGTAAGACTATATGAGCTGCTCTCAAGTTGGCTCACTGTATTACAGACAACTTGTATCTAGTTTGGTCTAAATTAGGGCTGCCAGATCCCCCAGGGTGGTGAGGGTTTGCCCATTCTAGGGGCCCCCAAAGTGCCTGGATCAGGCCAACATTCCTGGTGTGATGACATCACCCAGAGGTCACACGGGCACCGGGGGAAACTCTGGCACTTGCCCCCCCCACTGGACAATAGGTAGGAGCCTGGCAACCCTAGTCTAAATTAATGAAGAAAATTTTGCTGAATTTAAGTCTGAACTGCAGTGTTATATCTACTCCTGCAACTCTTGTGAGTCTATTCAACAAAGTTTTAAATAAGTCAAGGTCAGAGCAGAGTTTCTACCATATCCTATGAGCTACATCACTCATTACAACCCAGAAAGTCCAGTATCAGATGTAAAGTATTTTTCAGCAACCTATGTGAGACCAGTATTCAAAACAGAGACACATTTTTCACCAGCTATTGCAAAGAATGATGCTTTGGTTCAGCAATTCCCAAAGAACTGCTGGTATTCAACAAGAAATGGAAGGAATCTTACAGGAAAGATCACTGGACAATGGTACCACCAGAATGGCATAACCATGATATTCTGACAAATAATACATCAGCCCTTCAGGGAGATACAATATTGCAAATGTTTGGTATTGGAGTATCAGGATATTTCATGTTGTAAAATTCACAACATAAGGAAGAGTTGATTGATTTTCTTGTTTTATCCTCCTAAAGGAAGGTTTCTTATTTCCTCAGGCTCTGAGAGCTCTTCACTCTCATTTCATTTCATTGCACAAAGCTACAGCACCAAAATCAATTCCAGTTCTTACATACTGAAAAGATACTCGCCGATTGAGAGTGATTTTACTGTTTTTCAGTCTTACCTGTGTGGTAAAATTTCCCTGAGAAGCCCAGGTTGAAAGTGAAATTTTTGATCTGAGCCCTCAGAAGGTTCTGAGTATCAAGCAGAGCCTGAAATAAACAAAGTAAAAATTCATCAAGTTTGTAATAGTATCAGTGTGTGATATACCCTTTCCCCCCCATTTTTAAATATTTGTACAATTATTTTCCCCCAGGGCAACAGAGCACTCTTTCAATCCCAATAACCAGATAACGGTACTAAGCCTGATGGTGGAAAGTGCCATCAAGTCACAGCTGATTTATGGCAACCCCATAGGATTTTCGAGGTAAGAAACATTCAGAGGTGGTTTGCCATTGCATGACTCCCGGTCACGATCCTGGTATTCCTTGGAGGTCTCTCATCTAAATACTGGCCATGGCCAACCCTGCTTAGCTTCTGAGATAAGATAGGGCTAGCCTGGGTTATCCAGGCCAGGGCTAAGCCTACACAGGGATAAACTAGACACATATAGCCTTGTCTTCATGACTGGGGACAATACTTTGTGAAATCACAATCTGTGTATGCACAGGGCCCACATTATGGCACACACATTTAGGCAGGGAATGTAGCCAGCACGTTTAGTCAACATAGTCAATGGGGTCAGCATGTTGCATCCCCAAATGCATTATCTGAGTCCACATTGACTTGTGAGGAGTCAGAGGGGCCGGCTTCTGGTTCTGTCAATGCCGGTTGCCTCTGGCTGCGATGCCAACTCGGGCGGGGACTAAGCACTGTTGTCATTGCTCATGATATGGAATTCCTAGTTTCCAATAATTTCAAATAACTAATACTATCAAAAGCTACTGAGATAACTTGTTTACTTTTCCCTGTTAATCTCCAGATGAAGACTTTAGGCAATGATTTCTTTAGGAGACAGTAGGCAATCTAATAACTCCTGGGGGAAGGCATTTTGGGCTTTGTATATCCCAAGTAGTTTCAGTTAGGACAGATGTTTTTAATGATCAAATGGATGGAAGCATCTTACTAACCAATCTATATGCATCTAAAGCAGAGTGTTATATAAAATTCAGCTCTAGTTACTGGATTAAACTTGAAGCAAAATAACAAGGTAGAACAATATTTCCACTAGAAAAGTAGGAAGACAGTCAACTATCCATGTCCCAAGTTCATATATGACAGAACTAAGTCCCCAGTTTGAAGTCCAACACTTCAGAGCTGACATCTATTACTGAGTTTTCTCCAAGGACACCAATAAAAGACATGTATTGCTCATCTTGTCTGCTTTTCCCAGCTTCAAAAATATTCAATAATTTCCCCAAAAGATTTGTACTCTGCTGTGCACAGAAAAGTTTGATAGTTTATATGGGCTTTAAGCCACATGATTCTCATTAAAATAAATAAGAGTCATGCTGCTAACATTCTGCACAATTCTTTGAAAATTCACCAGCGAAATGCACACCGTAGCATGCCTTCTGTACCTCCTAAGTAGGACAATGCTGCCCTCCAATGAACTGCTTCCTAGCTAGACAAGCTGAGTTAACATTTTGGTTGTCATGCCTATGATTATTTTCTGGGTGACTTGACATTTTACTCGTCATTTAGGTTCTAAACCAAAATGTTAAAACTTGTGAAAAGCATGCAGCACCAGATGGCAGGGACTATTACTCTAAGAGTACGTGACTATCTCTGAGCGTACAGGGATGCTTGCATGTGGGGGTTGAGTCTAGATTTTAATTTCTAAATGCTGTTTTGTATACTCAAGGTAAGCTGTTGAGAGCTCTTTCCACTTTTTAAATAATTGCTTTTATGAATGCTGTAGTGAGTATGAATTTATATGAGTATGGCTATATAAATGCACTGGTGCAGACTACTACACTTTATAACTTGCTCGTTTCAGGGGTGGAAACTAATCAGAGGGTCAAAAATACTGATTTTACTGACCAAAATTCAAAAAAAACCCTGAACAAATACTGACAAAAAACTGACAAATTACTGAACAATTTAATGTCAGCCTACTAATAAGCTAGAGTTTTAAATGTAAAACTAGGACTTCATTAAAAATGATTATTATCTGGCCTCTACTATCCCCATAGCCAGCCCCATAGTTAGATGTGACCCAGATAAAAGGATTGCACACCTTTTTTAATTTTTTTATGAATAGAGGTCAATGTTTTCATTATTGTACAAAATTTAAGGCAAAAAAGATTCCCTTTTAAAAATAATCACATACTGCAGATAATAAAACAGCAAAACAGCAAAAACAAATTAAAAACCAAACATAAAGTAATGATTATGACAACAAAACATAATTACTATAAGGTAAGACTTGTCTTTGCTTTTACTTTATATCTTTGGTTTTTTGATGAAAAAAGAACTGGCCAGCAGCCTGCCATCTCTGGTGGAGGCCCTGTCGGGCTGGGCATTGGAACACCCTAGACTGAATGTCCTGCGCAATTTCAATGTCCATGCGGATGATGTGGCCTCCTCTCAGGCGATTGACCTAGTGACATCTGTGGTGGTGCTGGGACTCTCCCAATATGTAACGACTTCCACTCACTGGGCTGCACACATGCTCAATCTGATCTTTGTGGCAGGGGTCACAGTGGACCGGGTCACTGCCTCAGCAGTGCCATGGTCGGACCATCATGCCCTGAAGGCCCATCTGAATGTTTCACCCCAACCCTGTTTGGGTGCCGAGCAGATTTCAACTCACCCGCAGAGCCAAATGGACTCTATGTGGCTTCAAGTGGCCCTGCAGGATCCAATGTCCCCTGGCAGCTCATTAGATGAGCTTATGGAGGATTGGCACAGCTGACTCTCAGCAGCTGTTGATGAGATCACTCCCCGACGCCCTCTGCACCCTCACTCTAGGCTGGCTCCTTCGTTTACCCAGGAGTTGCGGCCAATGAAGTGAAGGCTAAGATGGCTAGAGAGACAGTAGCAGTGTGCCTGCGATGAAGCCACACGAACATCTTATAGGATGTTTATGAGATCCTATGAGATGGCAGTCAAAGCTGCTGAGAGTATTATGCGGCCATGATTGCATCTGCGAGCTCATGCCCAGACCAATTATTTAGAATAATTCGGTCTATGACTGTTTCGCCACAAGGCAGACCAAATGTTAGGGAACTGGACACTGGCTGTGAGGCCTCTGCGAGCTACTTTGCAGATAAAGTCCTGTTGCTCCGCCGTGACCTCCCCACCAAAGTTGAGGTAGTAAGTGAACTCGAGGTTCCATGCACGTCTTCTAGTCAGGTTATGGATTATTTCAGTCCGCTCAGCCTGGAAGAAGTTGACAAACTGCTCTTAACTGTACGCCCTACCATGTGCTGCCTTGACCCGTGCCCGTCATGGCTAATTAAAGCTGGCCGTGATGGGTTTTGAGATGCCCTAAGGGAGATTATCAACAAGTCCCTCTTGGAGAGACAGTTCCCTAGGGCACTCAAGGAAGCTGTGGTTTGTCCCCTCCTGAAAAATCCATCTCTGAATCTGGCTGAATTGGCTAATTACCGGCCAATCTCCAATCTGCCCTATTTGGGCAAAATAATTGAGAGGGCCGTGGCAATTCAGCTACAGAGCTTTCTGGATGACACTTCCATTCTAGATCCATTCCAGTCCAGTTTCCACCCAGGCCACAGGACGGAGACGACACTGGTTGCCCTTACGGATTACCTCCAGAGACATCTGGATCAGGGCAAATTGGCAGTGATGTTGCTGTTGGACCTGTTGGTGGCGTTCAACACAGTCAACCATTAGTTACTGATCCACCGCCTCACCAACACCGGAGACCAGGGGCCTGCCTTGCAATGGCTGGCTTCCTTCCTTCAGGGTCGGGGACAAAGGGTGGTGCTAGGGGAGCAGCTATCCCAAAGGCACCCACTGATTTGTGGAGTGCCCCAAGGGGCGGTGCTGTTCCCAATTTTATTTAACATCTACATACTCCCCCTTGCCCAGATTGCCCGAAGGCATGGGCTGGGATGTCACCAGTATGCGGATGACACCCTTCTCTATCTATTTTTGGACGGCCACTCTGACTCTACACTGAAATACCTGGACTGGGCATTGCAAGCTGTGGCTGGTTGGCTCAGACATTGCCATCTGAAATTGAATCCGACAAAGATGGAGGGCCTGAGCCAGGGCAGCATGAGGGTAGGGATCCTACTTCCAACCTTCGATGGGTGGCCATTGGTGCCAGCATCCAAGGTTAGGAGCTTGGGAGTGCTCCTGAATGCCTCACTAACAATGGAGGCCCAGGTAGCAGCCACTACCAAATCAGTCTTTTATCCCCTCCGGCTGATTAGGCAGTTGGTTCCCATTCTCGAATGCAACAACTTGGTGACAGTGATGCATGCGATGGTCACCTTGAGATTGGACTTCTATAATGCTCTCTATATGGGGTTGCCCTTGACCCAAATCCAGAAGCTACAGCTAATGCAAAATGCTGCAGCCAGGTTTCCCTATGCAGGAGCATATCCAGCCTGTGCTGAAAGTACTGCAGTGGTTACCGATAGCATACCAAATTTGCTTCAAGGTGCTGGTACTTACCTTTAAAGCCCTTTATGGTCAGGGGCCCACATACCTGAGTATACCTTTCCTCACATGTTCCCCAGAGAGCACTGCACTCAGGGTCACAAAATCAATTGGTCTCCCAGGTCCTAAACATGCCAGGCTGGCCACAACCACAGCCAGGGCCCTCTCAGTGGTGGCTCCGTACTGAGGAATGAGCTCCCAGAAGAGATCTCTCTTTTTTACAGTTCCGCAGAGCCTGCAAGATGGAGCTCTTCCACCAGGCCTTCGACTAAGGAGCCACACCAAATAACACCAAATAACTGAGAAGTGACAGTGCCCTGGTCCTTGGCTTACCACCAACAGCCTGTGCTGTTGCCTAAATATAGAAACCAAGACGAGCCAACCACCAATACAGATCATCTGATTACAACACTAGTATTGGTTCTGCCTTCTGTAAGCATTGTTGTAAGTACCTGATCACTTACTAGCACTTTATGATAATGTAGAGTTTTATTATTCGTTTTAAGGTTGTATATAATTTGTTATCTATACATTTAAGCTTTTTGTAAGCAGCCCTGAGCCCGCTGTGGCGGGGAGGGCG